TACTAAATATTGTCTTTCAGTCTATTTTAAACTAGATTTTGATCGTTCAGGACAAGCTTAAAAACTGAAGTGTCCAAGGCTTGGATAGCAGTGAATAACTAGAGTTAATAAAAAGAAAAACTGATGAGACTAAATTCAAAATACTATCTTCTTCAAAGAGCAGATAGAGTATCATAGAGTAGGGCACAATAGATCTTTTAAAGGTCGCAGTGCACGATCCCTTACTCAATAATAATAATAATCATAGAGTAACGAACTGGAATATGGTAAAATGTTGATTAAAAGAGTAGCTTTACAAGTAAATTATAAGTAATTTTTCTTATTAGCAAATGTAAATATATTTTGAATACTCCAAAAACTGAAGGTCTTTTACTATATAACTCTTAATATATATATGTATATATTTTTTTATATATAAGTATAATAAAATACTATATAATATTAAAATCATTTACATGAGTGTTTCTTAGCATTTTTTTAAAACGCTGTACTTTAGATTTCAAGAGATTCAAGCTCAGAAATCATCCATCACTTCCCGTAATATATACATTGTGACCGAAAGGTTTTCGGAAATTCTCATTTAAAATTCGCGCGCTGTATATTTTTCGATATTTTAAGTTTATGTAGTTTGGCAGCACTGTCCTTAATTACTATGCCAAAAATGAGCGCGATCTGTCAGACAGTTCGTGCGTTGCGAAAAAAACAATGGAAAAAAAATATTGAACAAAGAGTTTGCATCAAATTTTGTGTTTCGAACGAAATTTGAATCGTTGCGAATGCTACAAAAGGCTTATGGGGAATCAGTTTTATCGAAAACTCAAGTTTATGAGTGGTACAAAGCCTTTCAGGACTGTCGTACGACCGTCGAAGACATGCCGCGTTCTGGACGACCTTCGACCTCTACCACCGACGAAAACATTGAAAAGGCAAAGGAAATCGTGTTCAAAAATCCTCATGTGAGTGTTAGAGAGATAGCACGAGAGCTAGGCATCGGTCGTGAGATGGCTCGTTTGATTTTGGTGGACAATTTGTGTATGCGACGTGTCAACGCCCGGCTTGTTCCGATTCACCTCAATTTGTTCAACATTATCAACGATTTTAAGGCCAAACATTCAATAAATACCATCGAACAGCCACCGTATTCACCTGATCTTGCACCGTGTGACTTTTTCCTGTTTCCCAACCTCAAATTACCACTCAGAGGAACGCGTTTTGAATCCATAGAAGACGTAAAACAGAATTCGCAGAGGGAACTCAAAGCCATACCGGAAAGCGCCTATAAAAATGTTTTGATGATTGGAAGAAACGTTGGCATTTGTGTATCGCTTCTAATGGAGCATATTTTGAAGGAGATAAAATAAATATTGATGAAGGTTAAGAATTTTGCGTTTTATTTAAAATTTCCCGAAAACTTTTCGGTCACAATGTACAATAGGGGCTTGAATAAGTAAGATCAGTCCTATCTTTATCCATTTTTGAACGCCGAAAGATGAAGTCTATTTATTTTTTCAATAACAAACTTTTTCTTTACCCTTGCATGAATATATTAATTCGTAAAGTTTATAAATGACTAGAATTCCTGATATCAATGTTCTAAAGTTAATAATGTTAACTTATGTATAATATTTTATTGACTCTCTCAATACTTAAATTACCGAAAAATTTTCATTTTTTTGAAATTGAAATTTTAAAATTTCATTTTATTCATGATTTTTAAAATGCAACTCACACTTCCCAGCCATATGCTTATGATCATCAGTATGACCACCCTTGACTCTATTACTGTGCTTTTAATATTCTAAAGTCTTTTTACAAAACTACTAATGAAGTCTACATGAAATAAAAATTAATAATCAGTAATATATACTTATAGACAAAAGTTAGGAGCGAAATCGAATGCTGAAAACTACATCGACAAAAGTACACTTCACTCAGAAAGGAAGAACTCCAATATATTCTGTAGCAGTAACAGATATATACTATTATCAAAAAAGTTTTCGTTTATTATTATCAAGAAAATAAATTAAGTAGATTCTCACAACAGCTGTTGAAATTTTAAACCACATGTCGTATGAGTACTTTTTAAATATATATTTTAGCAAATATTTACTACAAAATTTTTTGTAATTATAATTAATTATATATTTAAATTAATTATTTAAATTATTCTTATTATTAAACAATTTATCTTACCTGTTGTTTTTCCAGTTGTTAATAAGCCATTCTCACACAGAATCAGCAGAAGTTTAATGAGTAGAAATATTAACACTTTTTTGCAAAATAAAAACATGGCAATCAAAACGTTTGACTCCAATAGACAATGTCGTTGTTTTGTTTAGAAAGGTCCATTTGGGCGCAGATTATTTATAGTTGGTTCACTTTATAGAATGTATAATAATTTCTTTATTTTGATCTTTTATGTAATAATTTACAAAGAACATATTGTTATATTTTTTTTGTATACATTGATCTGCATCTTTAAAAATTTATTCTAAAGTCATTGATTAAGTTTTACCATTGTTTTTACTTCGTAGAACCCTAAAAGAAAATATACATAAATAAAAAATTTGTTTAATATAACTAAGCTTCCATAAAAAGCTAAAAATTATTGCATTCCACTTTGAGGTATTATGTTTCGATAAGTGCTAAGGGAACTGATGTTGGTAACAACGACGGAACAAAAAATATAGGAGAATTAAAAAGTAAATTTAAATAATTTATAAACCTAACAAAATAATTCTAAAAATATTTGGGTTTCCTTGATTTAGTGATCTTAAGTGAGCTGCTACTCCAACCTAACCTAACACAACGACATTAATTTTTAAAAGAAGTCACGAAAACTTTTTTGAATCTTATCAGTATTTATAAAATATAGATTGGAGAAAAAGTATTCGGCGATCTGTTGTTTGGTTTAAATCCTGGGAACTTTTTTCTATATAGTTTTTTGCTTAATATTTCATGGAGATTAGTACTTCCTAATAACAATTATTATAACATAAAAATATAAGAAACTGTAAAAAAAGAACCGAATGGATTTTATTGTGGTAATGTAGTTTGGAATTCAAAAAACTCGTTCTTAAAATATAAAATAACTGCCATATTGCTAACGCTAGTGGTCATACCAATAACTGCGGATTAAAAACTACTTTAAGCCTTTGACAAAGCTTAAAATGTTTTTAGAAGGTGGTCCTGGAGTTGTCAAAAAACCTCAAAAAAGTAAGCCACTAAAATAGTAAATCGGTGCAGCACATACGCTAGACCACAAAACAGACGTGAGGCACTTTTATTATTCTCTACACATCAGTGACAGGAATGACTAAACGGGTAGTTTCAATCTTCTAACATGGTTTCCTAATCGGTTGTGACCTGTAAACATACCTACCACAAGATAGATATCGTCACGGAACATCTCAACAATAGTTAAATGTTATTTTTTCTTAGTAGAACTGGGTCATCTTTAATACAATTGCTTACTTATCATTGAGTCTTTCCATCTTTTATTAAATTGCTCAGCACAGAAAGCATTCAACTAATGTTTTCATGATGCCAAAGATATACCCAGATTTTTTAAGTTTTCCAAATGATTACCTTAAGCAACCTGCCTGGCTAGCTGGTCTGCCTTGCCAGTTTAGTTAGCTAGACTTGAAAAATATTAAACTGCGTCGACATCTCGGTTAGAGATTTGTAGCAGTCAAAAACCGTACTACAGTAGATGTAAATGGGACTGAACTTAAGGACTTTAAAGCCGCTTGATTTTCTTATAATATGTTTAAATTCGTTTTAAATATATTATCTACTTCCAGATAAGCTATAGCTTCTTGAATAGCTTTTTTACTACTCATCTCCGCCTAAAAAACACTTCAGTAATCAAGAAGCCTCAGCGACCTCTAGATTGATCCTTTCAAAATATACATAAAAGATAGAAACCTGAAATTATTTACGAAAACTGACAGGCTTACCACATCGCGTTATCGAATATTAGAATGGTTACAAGCTCCTCGGAGAGGTATGCAGATATGAGGACAATTATTGCTTAGTCTGATGAAGTGATAAACAATGATCCAGTCAAAAAGTAGAGAGAGGTTATGAAGAAACCTTGCAGTTAATACAGAATAAAAGTGCTCAAGTGCACTAACTCAACTAGCCTCAATATAAAGAAGCCTATAATAAATAGATTTATTCAATCCTTGTGAGCATATTTCACTAATTTTTTTACATATTTCTTCATAAATATAGGCTATGTTTCAAAATTCATTTGACTACTTTCTTTAGGGCAAAGTCTATTGTGTGTAATGAATATTTTTTCAAATAAGAAATAATTTATATTTAATAATCGTTAGCCATTCAGTCTTAAGGTCTTCACATATTTTTAGCGCTAGATATAAATAATATTAGTAAACAGAAATTATTCCTTCACTAGATCATATACAAACTAATGAATTAGAATTTAGTACACCACAGAGCATCCTTAAGAATCATCAAGGTGTCTTACTGTACTCAACTCAAAGGTAAAGACTTGAAAATTTGTATTTTTGTTGCTTTATTTGTTGTTTCCTACGTACGAACTTCATAACAACGTCCCTCAATACTGGTTCGCATATGTACATGAAAAAATAAGCGAATAAGCATATTTTTTTTTTTCTTGCATTCTGAAACTACTTTATTATGAACATAAATTTCTTAACCCTGTATTTTTCCTAGAAGCATAATACGTTTCATTCTAATATTATTAAATTCTTTGTGGTTGTTTTGTTGTTGTTTTTGTTGATTTGTTGCTTTGTTGTTGCTTTATTTTATGAACACGTTTTTGGCAATTTGTTTTTGCAAATTCTCTTTGGCATTTGAGGTTTCAGTTTGTTTTCATTTTGCTAATGTTGAACATGTTTTGCAAATATTGCAAAAAGCAACAAACGATAATTTTTGGCAATAGTTCAATGCAATGTACCCTACAAAGCTTATTTGCTGTTGTTTATTGTGTATGACTCTCAGCTTTTTTAAATCTTAGATTTTTAAACAATATTTTTAATTAATGAAACTAAATAA